CTGCTTTGGAGCTGCAGCCTGAAGCCTTCTCCTTTCGACAGGGGACCACTTTGAGACGGTGAAGAGGATTTTTTTAACCCTTTAAAGGTTCACATGCTGTTTTTTGAATTGCTGTCTAATGAAACAAACCAACCATTGGACAACAACTATAACAAAGGCCCCACACAAAACCCAACAAATAGTTTTGTGTGATAGACCATTTTCACAGTTGTTTGGCGTGCTGCTTTTTTTGGATGTTGCAGCCTTTGCTACGTGAAAGAACAGTGATTTCAATTTCACACTTCATCTCTTAGACACTGTTAGTTCTTGATTGTACTTGAAACATCTCCCACCAAGGCTGGATACTGAAGTTGTAAATTGGTATGTTCAATCTGAACAGAAATGCTGTATGGAAACCTTATAGGCATGGAAAATACGATTTATTTTGGGTGTTTTTCCTCCTCCTTCCCTTTGCAGGTTTTTAAGGGTGGCAAGTGTAAGATGCATCTTATACTCAGAAAATGTTGCTGTAGTTGTTGTACATGATGCATGGGTTTAATTGGCTCTGGCTGAGATGAATGAACTCCTGTTGGGAAGTACTAGAATAGAAAATTTAGCTGTTAGATGAAATCTTTGAGAGGAGAAATCATGGGGTTTCTTTGTTTTGTTTTGTTCTGTTTTTCCCTAACTTTCATGGCTGCAGACCCGGGACTGCTGCGGTGGAAGTTTGTAGCCAAAAGCTTAAAGCAAAATTGATTCTGGTTTCTTCTTGGTTTAATTGTATGGCACGTTATGGATGAAAAGTAGCTTGAAATTGTTTTGGTTTTGAAATTGTGTTTTTAGTTGCTGTACACAACATTTCCTAAAAATGAAAACAAAAAATAAAATGAGAAGTTCAGCTTCAATTTCTGCTTTCAAGGAAACCATCTTTTATGGCTATAGGTAGTGGCCTGGTAGGTTTGGAGTGTTTTCTAAACTCCTGAAATCTTTATGGAACTGTGGTGACAGTTCCAAGATTTACATACATAGTGAGTTGTAGAAAGTGCTCTAAGGGCAGAAGTCTGAAGCTAGCTATTTCACAGAATTGCAGAATGGTTAGGGTTGGAAAGGAACTTTTGGAGGTCATCTGGTCCAACCTGGTGTTTGCCCAGGACCTTGTCCAGATGGCTTTTTGAGGATCTCTGAAGATGGACACTCCACCGTCTCCCTTGGCAACCTATGCCAGTGCTTGGTCACTCTCACAGTGAAAAAGTGTTTCCTGATATTCAGAGGGAAACTCCTGTGCGTGTTTGTGCCCATTGCACAATTGTGCCACATTGTGCCTCTTGTCCTGTCACTGGGCACCATGGAAAAGAGCCTGGCTCCATCTTCTTTGCACCTTCCCTTCCACATGGTGTGTCTGAGACAGTCAGAGCTTTCTCAGCCTTTCCTCATAGGAGACATACTCCAGTCCCTTAATTGTCTTCATGGCCCTTTGTTAGACCCTCACCAGTATGATGATACTATCTCTTTGGGCTCCCCAGAACTGGACACAGTACTCCAGGTGTGGCCTTACCAGTGGTGAGCAGCACTCTTCTACATGGATTATAACAAAGAACCTCTTACTCAGTACCAGGGTCCTGGTTAATCTTTTGACTGCGTGCAATGTGAGAGAATTTCCAAGGGAAAGTATAGTTTAAATACAAAGCAAACAAAAAATGCTTCAAAACGCCCACCCTAATTTGCGTGCTGTGCGTGTGCTCACTGCTGTCTCTGCGGAGTGCAAGAATCGCCTGCGCTGGCGGGGCGAAGGGTGGAGTCGTGCGGTCATCGCTCCCTGCTCACTGGCTATGGGAGAAGGTGAATTTCCTGGGAGAAGGGGCAGAGACATGCCCTTTTCTGAGGGCCCAAGGTGAAGGTTTGTCCTTTCCTTTCTGCCCTGGAAGCCAGCATGGCAGTAAGGGGGGAGGGGGAGGGCAGCCCAAGCTTCTGGGCAGGCTGGTCTCACAACCTGCCCCACCCCTACTGGTGTCCCAGAACTGGTAGTGGTTGATGCACATGCATCAGAGAGACTCTAGCCTTCACAAGGCTGCCATATCCCAGTCCAGTCAGGCGAACATGGGGAGCTTGACCCTCCCCATACCACCTTAGTCTTACAGAAATAGTAGTGATAACAGTATGGGTGGATCTTGGCCAATGTCTGGTGGCCTCATTACACTCTGGGCAGAGGTGTTTTGGCTTGCATTGTCTCTAACTGCCAATGGGAATATGGAGAGTACGGATAAGATTTGGTCTTAATGTGCTACTTAATGACACAAACTTAAAACTGTAATTATAGCTGTCTTAAGTGTGCTATGTCCAATTTGATTGATTTTTTTTTTTGCCTACTAAAGCCAAATAGCAAAATTGTGATTGAAGTCCAAATGCTGTTAATGTGTTTAAAAGCTGCAAAGAATGTGTTCTTATGTTAAAAGCAGCTTGTATGTGGCCTGTATTTTCTGAAAGCTAGATTCAGAACCAAAACAATCCCTTCCAGCATTATAAGTTACACAGTTACATGTCGATTGGGTTAATCTTCAGTATTATATGTACATGTTGTTTAGTTAAGACTATTTCATTCACTTCAGATAGAAAAACTGTTCAGAAGAATACCAATATACAAAATTCAGTTATCTTCAACGGGAAAAAAAAATATGAACCAGTTGACAGTCTCTCCATGACTATGGGGAATCAGTTATTGCCCAATATAAGATCAGTAATAGACAGTGGACTCGTAACTGAAATATTTAGTCAAAATAGTCCTGTTATTTCTGAAAACTTTAATCTGGAAAATGCAGTAAGTGATAATCCCATTGAAGAACGATTGCTGTCTAGTGAAGACAACCATTTATACACTGTAAATGTGGGAGAGACTTTGTTAGATCACTTCAAGTATCCTCTTACCATTGAAAATCAAAATACAGTAGTAAAAATTGAAGTACATCTGGATGGAACAGCAGTTGTGATAATGAAGATCTTGAAAAATACAAGGAATTAAATCTTCCAGAAGAAGCTGAATATATGCACTCACCTTATCGGTCTTCAAATGACACCCACTTTCTTCTGTAGCAATGCAGCATAAAAACTGCGGTGTTCCAACTTCAAGCATTTTCTCTCTAGAAGGGACAGTCAATCAAAATGTCAGTGATACAAGTAAGATTAAGTGAAATAGGAATTTTCATATATTCATGCTTACTTGTGACTTAAATGGGGAGAATTGCCATGTTAAAACATAAAATGTATCCACATAATGTTTAAAGTTATGTCATAAATTTTATACTTTAACAAACTTGGTAGTAAATACAGAAATTTCTGGTTTATATTGTCAGAAATAGCATGCAGTGTGAACATATGGTTCTGACTGCTCTTCTTTTTTGTCCATGTTATGAGCCATATTTTTAGATGGCTAAGTAGTTACTTTGCTCATTAAAAAAAATCTTACCGTGTCACAAATATGCCCGCTTTGGTTTTATATATTACTGTCTGTAGTAACAACTATTATCTAATTGTACAAATAGGATATTAATTTTTGTTCTTTAGTTCCACAAGTGACACACTTGTCATCTTAAAATTTATAATCCAAATGAGTTAAAAAATAGTTTATTTGCAGCAGTGAACAATAGCCTGTATTGTTAAATGTCCATGGTGAAAGTAATTTTGTAAGAGAGAGGGCTTTTCCAGTACTTACCACGTTTGGCAGTTTTTTCTGTATAGTTTGAGGTCACATTTTCCATGTTGGATCTGTTACTATCTAGAGAGGTATGCAGCATAAAACTTCTTGTGATGCTCACAGGACCAAATCCGTCTGCTTAATGCAAGCTATTCATATGTAGAATACTTACTTGTCCTTGCATCCTTTTTATGACTGTAGAATATCTTCTGAAGAAATGTCCAAATTTAAGTTTGCACTGGGGCTGCTTCTAGAGGGGCACTGAGGTTTCCTGTGAGAAGCTACCTTGAAATAATTAAGCATACTGGTTGACTATTTTTTTCCATGTAAATATTTTGACAAGCAGTGCTGTTCTCAGATTCAAAACCCCAAAGCATTAAACACCCTCCAAACTCACAAAAAACACTTGGTTAAAAACGAGGTCTGGCTTTCACTTGCAGTATCCACCCCCGTCCCCCCAAGGTGCCAGGCTGAAGTCAGGTGGCAGTGATGGGGCTCTGTCTGTACAGGAAACTTCCTTGCTGAACCTACCTGGCCCAGTGTGTTTCCCAGAGGTATTTCATCCTGAGATGCTTGAGGTCTACCATGACAGATGCTTTGCATGTTTTGGTTTTCTTTCTCATTTCAGGGTATGATTATAGTTTAAAAGTATCACTGGGTTGGAAGGTCATTTACATGCATGCTCAATATTATCTGTAGTTCTTTAATAATCGAGACCTTCAATCTTTTGTACTGTTAATAAGATTCAAAAGACTAGTGGAAACCTCTAGAAAATAAAGATGTGATTAAGGCATAAGAGTTGCTTTCTTCAGAGCCAGTTGAAGATAATGAAAATTTGTTAGTCTCTTTACAAGGAGCTAAAAATGAGATTTAGAAAAAATCTGACCAGCTCACTTCCTAGTGTTCTTACACTTTTCACACTGTATCACATTTCCTTAATCTGCCTTGTTTCTTGGAGGTATTAGAACAAAATTCTGATCAGAATATAAATAATTTTATTGAAATAAAGCAAGCTGATTGGTTGTTTCTATGCTGCTTGCTTACCCTCCTAAGCTGTTATAAGAGGAAGCACAGCACACACAGATAGAGACCAAATTGTCTAGTTCAAATAATCTCAATTCTAATTTGAAACTAGAAAATAGTTGTTTTCTGCCTTTGTTCCATTTACTGTTCATTTGGTTTGTATTTGAAAATATAATGTAGATATTAAGTATGATGCTGTTGTAGTTGTACATGCGTTAGATCTGAACCATATGTTGAGCAGAAAAAGCAGAAATAGTATTCAGGGTATATGATGGTATCTGATAATGCTGAATAGGCCGCAGCATTTATATGCTTAATTATGTCATGAAAATGTATTTTCATGGTTACTTTAAGTCAGTTTTTTGTTTATTCATTTGGCTTTTAAAAAATGAATCATTTAATGCATAAAATATTTATAAATAAAGCATTCTTTTCTTCAGGTGTTCCAATTATTCATACCTCCAGTTGCAGGTGAGAATGAATGTATTTGTCATGATCCATTTAAAGGATTCCGAAACAGTACTATGCAGTTATAAAACTTGACCAATTGCTTAAATGGTAAGTGCCCCAAGTGATTGATGTGGATTTAATTTTTTTTGCCTCTTACAAGCCTAGAGAAGGATTTAAATAGCTAAAGAAATTAATTTCTGGATTTGACAAATTGCAGTGTGAGCCTTTTCTGCTAATGGTAATATAACTAAGAATGTTTGAAAGGAGAATGGACCACTGTTTGTTCATCTATGTTCATGTTGCTTCAACCATGTGGTTCAGTCTTACTTTTGATTTTCCCTTCCTCTAATACTACTTCCCCATTCCTTCAGGGGACTCTGAAGAAGATATTCCTTCTTGCAGCACGATTTTTTTTTTTTTTCTGATTGAGTTGAACAATGTTTTTATTGCACTTTGAAGTTTGACAACCAGTTATGAAAGTTAGGTGGTTTGCACTGATGCTGCTGATGACAGTGAGCAGTCATTTGATGTGTTCTGCCCATAACCTGTACACAATCCTGCTCAGGGTTAAACTGACTGTTAGTTTTGATCTTACAAGGTAGTTTATCCTGAACTTAAATGAATTTTACCAAATGGGCACAATAAACCATTTAAAGATCTCAGAAAGACCCAAACTGAAGTCTGTTTTTCCCAGCAAGTCTGTTACAAAGGAATATTAAATATTTCTTTCACAAGAATGTAATGCTGTAGTGACATCAAAATCTCTTTTATTAATGCTGAAAAGGAGTTCTTGGTGAACTGATCTTTTTGTAAAAAAAAGCAAATAAATTTGCTTTATTTTATGTAGTAGAATATTCCAGTGATATCTGTGGCTTAACTCAGACTAGTGCTTCTGTCTGTGATGGAACAGTAAGTATGCAGGCAAGATTTTATTAGTATGGGAAGGATCTGTCCAAGTGTTGAATGTTTAAAATGGAATTTATTCTAAGTGCCAGAGAATGAGGTTCTTTTAAACACTGTTCTATCTGATCTGCTGACAAAAGAGAGGGAAAGAAAAATGTTGGTCTGTAGATTTCCTACACTGCTACAGTGTGGAGGAAGGAAGAATAGGATCTGGATATTTTGCCTGTTTTCATTCCTGTTGGCTCAAATTTAGTTGGCTCCTGTCTGCCACTTGCACATTCTGGGTCCAGTTCAGGCCAGTTAGGGAGGGGGCTCGCTTCTCCTAAGGCCAGCTGAACACAAACTGCCTCATGGGACTCTTGCCAAATCCCCTTGGGCAGCTGATGAGTATTTGAGCCTTTGTCACATCTGCAGTATACATAAAGGAACAGAGCTGAGGACGCAAAGCTAGCTTTAATACTACCATTTCCCTGCCTACGGAGAGATGTTCTTTGCAACTTAATTATTCTCTTAAAATGCTTGAATTTTTTGAACATAATTTCCTAGATATGCGCAAGACAAACTATATAAATTCAGGTGTTTCATGAAAGGGATATTTCTGAAAATTACTGGAATTTTGTAGCCAAGTTTTTCAAGGTTGTCCATTCAGTGTTTTAAAGTGTGCACTGAGAGGGGCAAGCTTCATCTTCATCACTTCTGTGAAGATGACACTGTAATAAGTTAATGGACCAGCAAGATAGGTGATAAATTGGTTTTTAACAAACGCAAGGTGGCATCTATGATAGAATGCCATGACACACAGTAGCTGATCACTATAGCAAAAGTTCATTATGGACAAATCTGATTTATAGGTATAACTGAATTTGCCGTCCAGTCTCTACTTCTTACTTAAACTAAATCCCAATGATCTCCAGTCAAGTTATATAATTCACAATTAGTTCTTGTTTTGAATGATTTGCTGTGACTATTGCCTAACTTCTCCAAGGCAGTTTAGAAATCTGTTGATGCTTCAGGATGTTGGAGACACTAAACGCCATTGTTATTGCGAAGTAAGTTACTGTTTATTGTTATTTTTCAGGAATATTTTTACTTGAAATATAAGCAAAAATCATTCTGCCATTGACAAGTAAATTAAATATTTTCAGTATTACATTTGAATACAATCCTTGCTTTAAAATAAGTGATTTATGCAGATGAATGTTTTAATTTATTGTATTTGCTTGGAATTTAAAGTAGATTTTAAATCAAGCTGTTAATATTTAAAACTCTATATTTCAGGCTGAGGTGAGGAAGGCACTTAGTCATGTTATTGAGAATCACCAAAATAGAGCAATTTTTTCAAATGTTGACAGGTCTGCCTGCAAGTTATTAGCATTGCACAGTGTAGTGGAGGAATCCAGATGTTCACACAGAAATGATTCCAACTCTGTGGTAATTACATCCTGTAATTGATAGCAAAATTATATGCTACAGAAAATTAATTTATTTGCACCATGCTATCATCAAGAAGCCTCACTTAGTAAAAGCTGTATCAAGAATAATAGAATCATAGAATCATAGAATCG